TGTATTCCTTATATCACACAGAACAGGACAGGTAAATGTATTCCTTATATCACACAGAACAGGACAGGTAAATGTATTCCTTATATCACACAGAACAGGACAGGTAAATGTATTCCTTATATCACACACAGAACAGGACAGGTAAATGTATTCCTTATATCACACAGAACAGGACAGGTAAATGTATTCCTTATATCACACACAGAACAGGACAGGTAAATGTATTCCTTATATCACACACAGAACAGGACAGGTAAATGTATTCCTTATATCACACACAGAACAGGACAGGTAAATGTATTCCTTATATCACACAGAACAGGACAGGTAAATGTATTCCTTATATCACACAGAACATGACAGGTAAATGTATTCCTTATATCACACAGAACAGGACAGGTAAATGTATTCCTTATATCACACAGAACAGGACAGGTAAATGTATTCCTTATATCACACAGAACAGGACAGGTAAATGTATTCCTTATATCACACACAGAACAGGACAGGTAAATGTATTCCTTATATCACACACAGAACAGGACAGGTAAATGTATTCCTTATATCACACAGAACAGGACAGGTAAATGTGTTCCTTATATAAATGTATTCCTTATATCACACAGAACATGACAGGTAAATGTGTTCCTTATATCACACAGAACAGGACTGTATATATCACACACAGAACAGGACAGGTAAATGTATTCCTTATATCACACACAGAACAGGACAGGTAAATGTATTCCTTATATCACACACAGAACAGGACAGGTAAATGTATTCCTTATATCACACAGAACAGGACAGGTAAATGTATTCCTTATATCACACAGAACAGGACAGGTAAATGTATTCCTTATCATAAACAGAACAGGACAGGTAAATGTATTCCTTATATCACACAGGAAAGGTAAATGTATTCCTTATATCACACACAGAACAGGACAGGTAAATGTTTTCCTGATATCACATGGAACAAGACAGGTAAATGTATTCCTTATATCACACAGAACATGACAGGTAAATGTGTTCCTTATATCACACAGAACAGGACACGTAAATGTATTTCTTATATCAAACAGAACAGGACAGGTAAATGTATTTCTTATCACACATAGAACAGGACAGGTAAATGTATTCCTTATATCACACAGAACAAGACAGGTAAATGTATTCCTTATATCACACAGAACAGGACAGGTAAATGTATTCCTTATATCACACACAGAACAGGACAGGTAAATGTATTCCTTATATCACACAGAACAGGACAGGTAAATGTATTCCTTATATCACACAGAACAGGACAGGTAAATGTATTCCTTATATCACACACAGAACAGGACAGGTAAATGTATTCCTTATCATCACACAACAGGTATTCCTTATATCACACAGAACAGGACAGGTAAATGTATTCCTTATATCACACAGAAAAGGACAGGTAAATGTATTCCTTATATCAGACACAGAACAGGACAGGTAAATGTATTCCTTATATCACACAGAACATGACAGGTAAATGTATTCCTTATATCAGACACAGAACAGGACAGGTAAATGTATTCCTTATATCACACAGAACAGGACAGGTAAATGTATTCCTTATATCACACAGAACAGGACAGGTAAATGTATTCCTTATATCACACAGAACAGGACAGGTAAATGTATTCCTTATATCACACAGAACAGGACAGGTAAATGTATTCCTTATATCACACACAGAACAGGACAGGTAAATGTATTCCTTATATCACACACAGAACAGGACAGGTAAATGTATTCCTTATATCACACAGAACAGGACAGGTAAATGTATTCCTTATATCACACAGAACAGGACAGGTAAATGTATTCCTTATATCACACAGAACAGGACAGGTAAATGTATTCCTTATATCACACAGAACAAGACAGGTAAATGTATTCCTTATATCACACAGAACAGGACAGGTAAATGTATTCCTTATCACACAGAACAGGACAGGTAAATGTATTCCTTATATCACACAGAACAGGACAGGTAAATGTATTCCTTATATCACACAGAACAGGACAGGTAAATGTATTCCTTATATCACACAGAACAAGACAGGTAAATGTATTCCTTATATCACACAGAACAGGACAGGTAAATGTATTCCTTATATCACACAGAACAGAACACGTCAATGAATTTCTTATATCACACACAGAACAGGACAGGTAAATGTATTCCTTATATCACACAGAACAGGACAGGTAAATGTATTCCTTATATCACACAGAACAGAACAGGTAAATGTATTACTTATATCACACACAGAACAGGACAGGTAAATGTATTCCTTATATCACACAGAACAGGACAGGTAAATGTATTCCTTATATCACACAGAACAGGACAGGTAAATGTATTCCTTATATCACACACAGAACAGGACAGGTAAATGTATTCCTTATATCACACAGAACAGGACAGGTAAATGTATTCCTTATATCACACAGAAAAGGACAGGTAAATGTATTCCTTATATCACACAGAACAGGACAGGTAAATGTATTCCTTATCTCACACAGAACAGAAAAGGACAGGTAAATGTATTCTGTATATCACACACAGAACAGGACAGGTAAATGTATTCCTTATATCACACAAAACAGGACAGGTAAATGTATTCCTTATATCACACACAGAACAGGACAGGTAAATGTATTCCTTATATCACACAGAACAGGACAGGTAAATGTATTCCTTATATCACACAGAACAGGACAGGTAAATGTATTTGGTTATATCACACAGAACAGGACAAATGTATTCCTTATATCACACAGAACAGGACAGGTAAATGTATTCCTTATATCACACACAGAACAGGACAGGTAAATGTATTCCTTATATCACACACAGAACAGGACAGGTAAATGTATTCCTTATATCACACAGAACAGGACAGGTAAATGTATTCCTTATATCACACAGAACAGGACAGGTAAATGTATTCCTTATATCACACAGAACAGGACAGGTAAATGTATTCCTTATCACACAGAACAGGACAGGTAAATGTATTCCTTATATCACACAGAACAGGACAGGTAAATGTATTCCTTATATCACACAGAACAGGACAGGTAAATGTATTCCTTATATCACACAGAACAGGACAGGTAAATGTATTCCTTATATCACACACAGAACAGGACAGGTAAATGTATTCCTTATATCACACAGAACAGGACAGGTAAATGTATTCCTTATATCACACAGAACAGGACAGGTAAATGTATTCCTTATATCACACAGAACAGGACAGGTAAATGTATTCCTTATATCACACAGAACAGGACAGGTAAATGTATTCCTTATATGACACAGAACATGACAGGTAAATGTCAATTCCTTATATCACACAGAACAGGACAGGTAAATGTATTCCTTATATCACACACAGAACAGGACAGGTAAATGTATTCCTTATATCACACAGAACAGGACAGGTAAATGTATTCCTTATATCACACAGAACAGGACAGGTAAATGTATTCCTTATATCACACAGAACAGGACAGGTAAATGTATTCCTTATATCACACACAGAACAGGACAGGTAAATGTATTCCTTATATCACACAGAACAGGACAGGTAAATGTATTCCTTATATCACACAGAACAGGACAGGTAAATGTATTCCTTATATCACACAGAACAGGACAGGTAAATGTATTCCTTATATCACACAGAACAGGACAGGTAAATGTATTCCTTATATCACACACAGAACAGGACAGGTAAATGTATTCCTTATATCACACAGAACAGGACAGGTAAATGTATTCCTTATATCACACAGAACAGGACAGGTAAATGTATTCCTTATATCACACAGAACAGGACAGGTAAATGTATTCCTTATATCACACACAGAACAGGACAGGACAATGTATTCCTTATATCACACAGAACAGGACAGGTAAATGTATTCCTTATATCACACAGAACAAGACAGGTAAATGTATTCCTTATATCACACAGAACAGGACAGGTAAATGTATTCCTTATATCACACAGAACAGAACACGTCAATGAATTTCTTATATCAAACAGAACGGGACAGGTAAATGTTTTCCTTATATCACAGGGAACAGGACAGGTAAATGTATTCCTTATATCACACAGAACAGGACAGGTAAATGTATTCCTTATATCACACAGAACAGGACAGGTCAATGTATTCCTTATATCACACATAGAACAGGACAGGTCAATGTTTTCCTGATATCACACACAGAACAGAACAGGTAAATGTTTTCCTTATATCACACACAGAACAGAACAAGGTACACAGACAGACTACACAGGTACATAGACAGACTACACAGGTACACAGACAGACTAAACAGGTACACAGACAGACTACACAGGTACACAGACAGACTAAACAGGTACACCACAGACAGACTACACAGGTACACAGACAGACTACACAGGTACACAGACAGACTAAACAGGTACACCACAGACAGACTACACAGGTACACAGACAGACTAAACAGGTACACAGACAGACTACACAGGTACACAGACAGACTAAACAGGTACACAGACAGACTACACAGGTACCCAGACAGACTACACAGGTACCCAGACATACCACACAGGTACCCAGACATACTACACAGGTACACAGACAGACCACACAGGTACCCAGATATACTACACAGGTACCCAGACATACTACACAGGTACCCAGACATACTAAACAGGTACCAAGACAGACCATACAGGTACCCAGACAGTCCACACAGGTACCCAGACAGACCACACAGGTACCCAGACATACTACACAAGTAATGTGAAAATAGATTACCATACGTGAATACCAGTCCAGGTGCATGGATACAAGCAAACACATATAAGAGATATACAGCCATTCACTTGTAGTAAGATGTACATGCCATTAAGAATGAAAATATTACTTTGTGACATAATATTTGTGGTATATTTTAGGCACTGGAGTCAGCACCAGACACAGCTAATGGCCAGACAGACACATGAAGCGAAGATTGAGGAATAACTATCATTACCTATCATTTTTACTCATTACTATTCGGAATTCTATGATATTCTGATATTTTTTGACATATCTTACCTATATTAAGTCTAATTGTTATGTTACCCTTTTTTTTCAAAGTTCCATTTGATTTTTTAAATTTTACATGAATATTGAAATTGTTTCATTTTCTTAAAATTTTTTTAGAGTGGTTTATATTTTTAATTTGATACCTGAGATTTCCACCAATCATTCCAAATAAGCCCATTTCAAATGAACTAATTTTATTGGAAGAAGGTACCCCCCAAAACTAACAAATCTAGCATAATTGTAATGATGGAAACTAAAGTAGATAGATCAAGTAATCCCAGTCATAAAAGTAATGTTTTCTTGGATTTACTATCGTTACATTTTTTGGACAAAGTGGCAGGAGGACCTAGGCGATCCCCTTTTGTCCGACATTGTGCGTCGTAAACTTTTTAACATCTTCTCAAATTCCTGGCATGGTATAATCAAGTACTCTTCATGGATTTAAAGGCCTTCTGATGCTTTACCAAATTTGTAAATATCATGACCCCAGGGTCTAACATTCGCCCCTGGGGAGGGAGTAAAGTTTACTATAGTTTATGTAGGAAAATCACATTTTTGAACATCTTTTGTTTATTTTCTTTTGGAAATGGTTCAAACTTGGTTAGAAATTATTTTTTATTAGTATAAGCTGAGTGCTTTATGAGATGCACATATTGACCTTGACTGACCACCAGGAGCTGAGCAGGGCCAAAAGTAGGTCAAATTGACTGAAATTTCATAGATGTTCTACTGTCCCTGGATGGAAGATTTTATATAGGAAAACTCAAATCTTGAGTGAAATTTCTGTTAATTCAAACTTGGTTAGAACCCTCAGCATGGGACAGCAGTTAATGTATACACAATTCACGTTTTTATTATGTGTACAATATATAGTTAAAGTTATATATCACTTTTTTTAACAAGATAATTTCTATGACATGTTACAAGAAGCACTGTGACTCAGGTGACCATTAAGGCCCTTTAGGCCTCTTGTTTTAGTTGAAAATGCATATTTTAATTGGTGCTTATTTCTATTAACTTCTTTTGTTTTACAAAGTTAAGTGCTATCAGAACCTAACTTGAAAAATTATAGTTATTTCAATGTGCATGGACATTATGTCATCTACTATGTGCATCTGTTTCTAATTTTACTTGTATAAAAATACCTTTGAGTAAATGTACAATCACTGTGTGGTAAAATTTAAAATGTTATACTATTTGGTTTTATTTGTTTAGAAGGAATCAAAGCTTGTCTGCTTTGGTTGTTATGATTTCTATATTAATCACGCAATTTCCTTTTCCACAGAATACAGATTTCGTTAAATGTTTGAGATAGATATGTTTATAGATTAGTGAGCTGCACTACATTTCCTGTTAGCGACCTTTAATGTGTTCACAATAAAATTATTTGTCCTGTTCAGTTTTACAAATATACAGGATTAAGTATTCTGTCATAAAAAAGGAGAAATATTTTAAATCCTACTCCTCTTGTAGGAATGAATGGATTTTTTTGAGTCTGAAGCATGGTTGGGTGAAAGGGAATCAATTTTGTATAAATGGTAGATCTGTGCCCTCTGGGGCAGGAGGGGCCCAATCGGGGAAATAAAGAAAATTCTTCAAAATCCTACTCCTCCTTTAGGAATGAAGGGTTATTTCCCAAATCACCTAAATTTTTTCAGAAGTATTCTTTGGTGAAGGGGCTAAGTTTTGAGGAGGGATTGGCCCAGTTGTTGAAATGTAAGTTGTTCAAAATCTTTAATCCATACTAGGATATGGTCCAAAACAATTTTTGATAATAGTGAATCTGACCTCTGCTTGACCACAAGGGCATGTCCCAACAGGGAAATTATATCAGAAATTTTTGTCATATTTCAAATTATCTTTTTAAATGACTGAATAGCTAAATTAGCCAGATAAGCAATGCAGGCCTCTTGAGTCTCTTGTTTGCTGTATTTATTAAGAGGGATGGTGTTTCATGGTTTTTATCAGAGGAATCATTCCTATTATACTAAGGTTTGGCAGCTTGATCGAAAGTTCTGTATACAAATCAGGAATAGATTCTGTTATATCGGACACATTCATTTTGGTATGTGTATCAGGTGAGGATATTAACTGCATGTTGAAAAGGAGGTTCCACAACTAACTTAGAAATAAGGTAGATGGTTCAACTGTATATGAAGTGATTTTCCTTTTTCATTCCCAATATTTTTAAACAATGATAAATTTGGTCTCTTTGGTATATGTAACATTATAAATGTAAGATGGATAATTGTATTATAGTTTGTCACGAATGATTTCTACTGCCACTTTTCATCTGTTATATATATATAATTACCAAGTGAACACATTGCATCATGTACAGTAATGTAATGAAGATTTCAGATTTGAGATACCTGTTGTAACTGTATCCAGGTATGATGTATGTGTTCCTTGTAGAGTTGATATCTATGAATATATGTAAAATATTGTGACCCAGGTGTGCATGTCATGTAAAGACAATCGGCCACTATGACAATGTTGGTAATTTCTAGCTGTCTGTCACTTCAACTTCCAAACATCCTTTTTTGGGGATGTCGTGGTGATATAACAGTGAGGCCGTTGTAAAATTTCTTGTCTAAGCGATTTGGTGGCGTAAATGTTGAGCTTGAGGCAAGCATCAGGCACAAGTCAAAAATTATCTTCCTTCATCAACTTCATTACAGTGTTCAGATATTCATAGATTAACAGAATGTATCACTTACAGTAATGTATGTTGATCTGAATGTTTCAGATTTGAATTTCTTGTCGTTATTGTACCCATGTACGATGTAGTTACAAAGTGATATAAGTTGTATAACTATGTACTGTATCTATATAGACATGTGTAAAAGTAGTTAATGCTTGTTCCTATAGAACTTTACATATCTTATATATATAATGTAAATGAATGTACCATGTGTGGAAAACGACCAAAAAACAATCTAACTTCACATTGATCTCCTCTTAGAAGGAAGTGAGATCATCTTATTAAGAATTAGACAAAGCACAGTTTATTGGGGAACAAGTTCTGTTAGTAATTCTCTTACATGTACTTGAAATTGGTAAATATCTTCCAGAAAATTACTTTTTGAAAATTAAGTTAGTGATAAGACCTCTGATGAAGAAGATTTTACAGTGTGTATTAAATATATGTTAGTGACATATTTGTGTTTTACTTATTTTATCAGTTTATGTAAGTTGAGACTCAAGAAGTAGGTAAATACGTTCAGACAATAAATCACAAAGTTTATGTTTGTCATGCAAATGTATATATTTTGGTCATTAAATACAAAACAGTCTGTTGATGTGCACAATGACCAGGGACAACTTTACACAACTCTAAACATAAATACAGACGAAGTAATTATGTCCCTGTGGTTATATAACCAGTGTTGTCTGGTTATAAGATAATCTACCAAGGACCATGACATCCATTGCCTAGTTCTTGTTCTACCTCTGACTGCTGTAACTGGGCACTTTGTGATTGGTGATTTAAGCATTATCCAAAATTAAGCTACGAGAGTGAAGATATTATGAAACGGCTTCCATGAATACAAATTTGAATTTCAAGGTACTGATGGATTCCATTGATAACTCTTTAAGAAACTGGTGAAATGAGTCACTTTCAGAGTGAGTTAAATCCATTCTTAATAGAATACTGGCTAAAATGAAAACAAAACGAAAGTGGTCCTCGATCCTGATTTTAGATCAAGACTGCAAAATTTACACGATAGGTATGTTATTGTGTTTGCTGGCATGCTTGATGATGAAGAAAACCACACCTATTCATTATGCAATCTTTCCAAAAAAGAAATACCGGCTAATCCTAATTCGGTAATATGATCATTTAGTTTGCCACGAAAAGCATACGGACCTCCCCTGTTCATTTGGATTCATAAACTTCACAAAAATTCTCATAAACGGGGAGGCCTTATGAATATTTTTGTCGCTGGCAAGTTTAAGCTATTCATTCATACCCATGTCCAAATCTTCTTGCTATCATTCTTGGCACCGTCATATCTTGATTACAGTCTTATTGTGATACTAAAGCACTGGAAGTAATAGTATGTGGATTTCAAACGATCCTTTCACAAATATCCTTGTCTAAAATACTTTTCTTCTGTACACCACTATACACCATGCTAAACTGGGAAAAAAAAAACCTTCATTCTCTTGTTATGAGAGCTTTCTTTTCCAAGAAAGCTGAAAGAAGGATCAAGTATATGTTTGTGAACTATACTGTTGTGTGTTCCATGAAATATACGTCCATTTCAAAAGTAAAAAACAAAATCATAAAAATTATCAAATTTTTGAATGACAAATTCTTCGTTGAATCATATAATTTTCCATTTCTGGATAGCAATATTCCTATATCCCTAACCTATGGTGTTAACATGTCACGATCTTTGTGCGAGTTGTCAACTGACAGACAAACTTGTAAACAGGGTTTCAAAAATGCAGGTTGATAAGAGTCATTGAGGAGTTCTGTTGTTGTCATAGTGATACCATTGAGAAATAATCTAACCCTTTTATTTAGGACCCGAAAATAAATAAATATACAAGCCTCCCAAGTTTCTTTCTTGGTCATGGCAAAAATGATCTCTCTCTCTCTCTCTCTCTCTCTCTCTCTCTCTCTCTCTCTCTCTCTCTCTCTCTCTCTCACCCGCATTTCGATCTCATGAGGAAGCAATTACATCACCTTAGTTATGGGGAATCCCACTTCCCGTTACGTTAAGAGCAATTTCTCCTGTTCCTTACATAACCTTTTATGTTAACCGCTGAGGAGCTGGAATTTCTCAATCATATTAAAAAACTATCGAGGGACCGATCTCAAACATATTCTTTAATATATGATTTTCAACCTTTCGAAATTATTGTTGCCATAGAACAGAGATAGGCAATTATTCAGAATACTCGTTTTTCACAATTGGTTGTCAAGGAAGTGTGTTGTCTTTTTGCACGTTTACCCATTTTTTTGTTGTTTTGCTACATAGTTGTAAAGAACATTGTATTTGTAAGGAATACAATCTTTTGCTAACACCTACATGGTTGTGAGGAATTCGTTTTCCTCACAAGTATGAGATATACGTTTTCACACTGCTACATGGCTGTGGGTAGTGATATCTCACATTTGTAAGGAATACACTTTTTTAACGCTGTTACATGTTTTGGAGGAATGTAATCCCATTTTTGTGAGGAATACAGAATACTTTTACACTGCTAAATGTTATGGGGAATGAAATTTTATAATTATAAGGAATACAATTTTTTCACACTGCTACATGGTTGTTGGTATAAACTCATACCTGTGAGGAATGCACTTTTTACGCGGTAACATGTTTGGAAGGAATGTCATCTCATTTTTTGAGCAATACAAAATGTTTTCACATCGCTAAATGTTAGAGGGAATGATATTTCATAATTGTCAGCAATGAATACAATATTTTCCTATTGCTGCCTGGTTGTGGGGAATTATTTCTCATACTTGTGAGGAATACAATACTTTCACATTGCTAGACGTTTGTGGGCAACAGTATCTCATACTGGTGAAGAATACAATAGTTTCACAGCTACATGTTTGTGGGGAACAATATCTCATACTTGTGAGGGAAACAATGTTTTCACACTGCCAAACGTTTATGGGGAATATCTCGTACATATATGTAATTGTGAGGAATATAATTTTTCACATTGCTAGACGATTGATGGGAGTGATATCTCTTATTTGTGAGGAATACGTTTTCACACTGTTTCATGGTTGTGAGGAATGATTGCCGATATTTGAGAGGAACACAATGTTTTCACACTGCCACTTGATTGACGGGAGCGATGTCCCATCTTTGTGAGGAATTAAATGTTTTCACATTGCTACGTAATTGTTGGGTGTGACATCTCTTTTTTGTCAATACCATGTTTTCACATTGCCAAATGGATGGAGGGAATGTTATCTCATAATTGTGAGGAATTATTTCATTCTCTAAACGTTTGTGGGGAACAATATCTCATATCTGTAAGGAATACAATGCTGTGACGCTGCTGAACGTTTGTGGGGAAGGATATTTCATAATTAGATGTCTGGAAAACGAACTTTCCTCATTTTTACTCTATGCCTCTATGCATTTTTCACGAACTTTCCAAGCATGCCTTCAAAGCTGACAATGGAAATCATTTCATTTTTTGAAATGTGAATTAAATTATTAAAGAACTCGAATTGCTCAATGACGAAAAGTTAAAGACAATGTGTACTGTGTATATTTTTTAACTTTCAGAATTAAGTAACGAAAGAAAAAACATAGTAATCAAATTAGAAGTTCAAGCAAATATTTCTCCTACACCTAAAAATACATGAATTTTGTTATCTACATTGTAATTACACTACATTGCTTTCACATTATTCGCCCTAGTCCGGCGGTAACATGCAAATTGACAAAGCCAACAAAATAAAGGCGCAATCATTTATTTCAATAGCTAAATATGAAACGGTATTACAATGACAAATGGCAACTCAAGAGCTGCAAAACAAATATGTCCAATCTACCAAATTATTGTCACAATAAAATGATGTAGCCACACATCGAGTGGTTTAAAGAGAGGGCAAACCTATAGAGTTTTATTAAGTAAAAGATCAATCCCGATATATTGTTTATACTATAAATATAAACTAGAAATCTTGATATAATTTGTTAATTCTAAAAGTACCAACTAGGATTTTTATGTTAAGCTACATGTTAGTGAGGAACAATATCTCACACTTGTGAAGAATACAATGTTTTCACACTGGTAAACGTTTGTGGGGAATATCTCACACTTGTGAGGAATACAATTTTTGCACACTGCTAAATGTTTGTGGGGAACATCTCATAGATGTGAGGAACACAACGTTTTCACACAACTACACGTTTCATTTGACCTACTTCAGGGACGTTTTTGCTTTTTTTGTGATGTTGCTGTGTTAAACCCCACAAGTAATATTTTACTTTCTTCCATCCTCTCTGCTCTATTTTTTTTTATTCTCTGATTTTTGAGACCCTGCACCATTACATCATTTTAAGATGGTGGCGTTCTGTCAATGATACTTTTACAGCCTATTGTCTTCGACACTCCATGGAATCCTTTGCACCTTTTTGGCTGAAAAAAAATTAGTTTAATTTCAGCTGATGCAATCTACTGCAGCCTGCATGCCAAAAACTGCAATATATAGCTTTTCATGCCAATAAACATGTTATTGACTCAATGCACAATTGAGCAATGAATATTTGATAATCTAACTTTAACAACAGCAGGAAAAGTTACCTCGTTCATTATTTGAATACCTTTTTACTTTTGATGTAACTAACAAAATATCAAATAAAACTACTGTGCGTACCACACCATAATGTCATCATAATTGCAGTCAATATTAATTAACTATCCATATAGATCACTCATGGCCACTTTGAGTTCAAAACATTTTAGTGGTAACTGATATGCTTTTTTGAAATAATCTCTGATGGCTGAATTTTAATTTACAGGCAGTGTAAGAAAATAATATCTTCTGTTTTATGCCACTACTGGGCCCTCAATGCACTCTAATTAAAACAAAACTGAATTGCCATCTTCAATAATGCTTCAAAACGAAATTGGTTTTAATAGGCAAGGTAGTTTTGAGATGTCATTTAAAGCAACACCCAAGGGCCTTAACGGTCATCTAAAAAGATTTTTTTCCCTTATTTGGACTGAAAAGAGACAATTAATCCTTATATTTACATTTATCAATTTAAAAATCCTACCATTCGAATGCACTTTCTGTTGACCCTGCAGTACAATGTACTGACAGTTTGTTACGTTGTTGCAATTATTGTGCATGTGTGCCCACATATGGAACAGCTGATAGATAGATTCATTTGTCACCAAACAACAAAAAATATAGTTAAAAAATGTGATTGAATTTTTATACTACACCTTTGTTAAAAAACATGCATTTAATTTTTTTCTTTCATTTTCAATAAATAGGAATCAATAATGTCCGATAGTGTTCTTCAACAAAGGTTGTATGGCGTAGCAGTAACACACTTCGATTTTGACACACCTGAAGCGAGTCACATGAAGTTGTCGGCTGTACCATTTTCGGTACGTAAAATCTTATTGATAAAGTGGAATTTTACATAGGCCATAGACTTAAA